CTAGGAAGGCCATATTTGTAGGATTCAAGCGTGGTGTCAAGGGATACAAGTTTTGGGATCCAGTTGATAAGAAGATTGTGCTGAGTAGGGACGTCACATTCGATGAGGCTTCTATCTTGAAGCTTCCCAGCTCTCATCAGGTGGAGAGCAACCCGACAGAGGAGATTTCGCAGGTGGTGGAGATTGATGCAGCTCCACAGAGTCCAGATAGTGCAGTATCCATGAGAGTGCCGACTGAGGTGACGCCAGGCGAGCACGACGGTGATGCGGAGGATACGGGTACTCATGAGCAGGATCAGGGGATGGAATCTCTTCATAAGAACGATACATGGGAGCTTGTTGAGCTTCCAAAGGGGCGGAAGGCGATTGGGTGTAAGTGGGTGTACACGAAGAAGGAGGGCATTGAGGGCACTCCAGTGAGGTTCAAGGCTAGGTTGGTTGCGAAGGGCTATGCACAGGAGGAATGTATTGATTACAATGAGATTTTCTCTCCAGTGGTGAAGCATTCTTTGATTCGGATTCTGCTAGCTTTGGTGGCACAGTATGGATTAGAGTTAGATCAGTTAGATGTGAAGACGGCATTTCTTCATGGTGATCTTGATGAAGAAATATATATGACTCAGCCATTGGGATTCCGAGCTGCAGGGAAAGATAAGTTGGTTTGTAGGCTAAAGAAATCGCTATACGGTTTGAAGCAATCTCCTCGACAGTGGTATAGGCGATTCGATGGTTTTATGCTTGGTCATTCGTACACTCGGAGCCAATTTGATCCTTGCGTGTATTTTTGTACTTTGAAAGGAGGTGCGTACATTTATTTGTTGCTTTATGTCAATGACATGTTGGTTGCCTCTAGTTCCAGGTCAGCTATAGATGAGTTGAAGGTTCAGCTTTCGAATGAGTTTGAGATGAAGGACTTGGGCGAGGCGAAGCGTATTTTAGGGATGGAGATCGGCAGAGACAAGAAGAAGGGCAGGATTTGTTTGACACAGGTGGCTTATTTGAAGAAGGTTCTACAGCGATTCCGTGTTAGCATGGATACGAAGCCAGTTGGTGTACCATTGGGAGCCCATTTGAAGCTTTCAGCTGGCCTCTCACCGAAGTCAGTTGAAGACCGTGAGTTGATGGCGAAGACTCCATATGCGAGCGCAGTTGGGAGCTTGATGTACGCAATGGTATGTACGAGGCCGGATTTGTCACAGGCGGTGAGCATGGTTTCTAGATACATGCACGATCCAGGAGTGGGTCATTGGGACGCCGTGAGATGGATTTTGAGGTACATTCGAGGTACGCTCAATGTTGGTTTGGTTTATGAGCGGGACACTACAGGTGGGCAGCTATGCATTAGCTATGTTGATTCGGATTATGCCGGGGATTTGGATAAGCATCGGTCTACGACGGGGTATGCGTTCACTTTGACCCGTGCGCCGGTGTGTTGGAGATGCACCTTACAGTCGACGGTGGCTTTGTCTACGACGGAGGCAGAGTATATGGCGGTTACGGAGGCTGTGAAGGAGGCTATTTGGCTTCGAGGACTGTTGGAGGAACTTGGTATATCGCAGAAGTCCGTCACTATTCATTGTGATAGCATGAGTGCTATCTATTTGGCGAAGAATCAGGTTTTTCATGCGAGGACGAAGCACATTGACGTTCGTTATCACTTCGTTCGGGATGTTCTTGAAGATGGCGATGTGGAGATTGTGAAGGTCCACACGAAGGATAATCCGACGGATATGCTCACAAAGGTGGTTCCGAGCAACAAGTTTGATCATTGCAGAAACTTGTTGAATATTTGTGATTGTTGAGGCCGTTGGCGGCCATTTGGATGAACTACGGGCGGCTTGATCTCTTGGGAGAGGGGGTACGTAGGCAACCATGGTGGTGCAGCCATATTTGGAGAGACGACACATTGATGCTCTTGGTTTGGTGTCGGCTCATTTTTGGCAAAATTCGCCGAGGTGGAGAATTGTGGAGAAATCAGAAAAGAATCAGAAAAGCCAGAAAATCTGGCATAAGTCGACTCATGCACAAGGCTAAGTCGACTTTAAGTCGACTTATGGTAAGTCGACTTGTCAGTGTGCACGAGTCGACTTACGATCTGCACTGGAGTTGTGTTTTTTGCCTCTGTTAAGTCGACTTATCAGGCATCATAAGTCGACTTACGATCTCCTCTCCAGTTGTTGTTTTTCTCTCTGCCAAGTCGACTTGTGCACTCTGTTAAGTCGACTTATAACGGGTTTTTTGCACAATCAGGTTTCCTATTTGCAGTCTGATTAGGATTTTGTTTTGATATAAATAGGGAAACGATTTGTTAGGGTTTTTTATCAGAGATTAAGGAATCCTTTGAGCATTGTGAGAGGGAGATATTGTGAGCAATGTGAGATCTTTGGTTGAGGGTTAATTTTGAGGGTTTTGTGTGATTGTAATCTTTTGTACTCTCCTTGAATTAGTGAAATCTCCCCATCCTCTCCCCATGGACGTAGGCAAATTGCCGAACCACGTATATCTCTGTGTTTGAGTTGATTTGTCGTATTTGGCTTGGTTTGTGCAAGTGGTTGGCTTTTATTCTTCCGTGATCTCAAATTCGTCGTGAGAGCGTGCAACGCTTCCGCATAGGCGCGCTACAGAGACAATGTAGGAACCACTTGAGATGTATTAGTTTATCTAGGTAATGGGTTGAAAAAGAGTTATCTTCGTAAAATTACAACAGGTTCCATATATTTTATGGTTGAAGTTTTTAAAATATGATTATATATATTATGAGTACTTTTTTCCAAAATAAGAAAAATTTGTTAGGAATTGGAAACAGAAATGAATAGTAAATTTTCTATTAATGATCTTTTTGTGAAAGATTTTTCAACCGAAGCATGTCTTTGTTTATTAAAGCTCACATAAGCAACCTAAGGATTGTAAGTTCGAACATCTGCACCCTCATTTTGTTAAATTAATGTTACTACTTAATACTAGTCCCTCTAATCTTCAATAATTGCATATTAGACCCTAAAATCACAGTAATTACTGATTAGTCTTTCAAAATCTCAATACTTGCATATTAGCCCCTCAAATCTCAATAGTTGCTCATTAGTCCCTCAAATTCTAAGGTCGTTGTAATTTGATACCTCAATGACAAAAATATCCTTATCTAATATTTTTCTAAAAGGTTATTTGCAATTTAGCATTTTAGAGGGTATTTTTTACATAGCGTTGTTTAAATATTGGTCCCTCAGATCTTTAATAATCTCATATTAGTATATCAATCTAAATAATTTCTTATTACTCCATCAAATCCTAGTCTTATTGCAATTTTACCCCCTCAATGTCCAAAATACCATCATCTAATATTTTTAAAGAGTTATTTGCAATTTGGCACTCTAAAGTTTACACTATTTTAAAACTTTGATATCCACAAATTTATTTGACACTATGATACCCCAAAAATTACACTTTTTTTAACTTTGATACCCCAAACCTCTTTTGACACTTTGCCACCATAACGTTTGTACATTTTTTAACTTGCGTACCTTAAAGATTCCACTTTTTTTATTCTGATACCGCAATGTTTTAACATTTTTAACTCTAATACCCTAAGTTTAAGAAAATGTTTAATGTATCAAAGTGTTAAAAAAACTTTGGGTACTAAAGTTAACAAGATATAAACTTTGTCTTAAGAAAAGTGTCAAGAAAAAACTTTGAGGTATCAAAATTAAAAAGGTGTGAAGTTTAGTGTATCTAATTGCCAAAAACCTTTGGTATTAAAGTTAAATGGTGTAAACTTTAGATTACCAAAGTGTAAATAATCTTTTTTTTAGCAAGGTGAGTTTTAACAGAGAAATCATAACTAAGAGTTATTTTCATCATTAATTAAGGGATCAAATTGTAAGTAACTCTTAGAATTTGAAAGACTAATAAACAATTATTGAGATTTAAGGAACTAATATTGAATTATTAAAGTTGTGATGGGCTATTTTTAAAAACATTTCTTTCTAAATCAAATGAGCCTGTATTTTATTTTTTTTAATCTTTTCTCCATACTAATTTGTGTACGTAATGACTACCAAGCCATTAGTATCGTATAAATACTTTAGCTAATATTTTTTGTAAATAAAAACGAACCTTTCTTTTTTGGCTTCTCCACACTAATATGCTGAAAATATTATTTTTTTCGCTTTATCTACAATACAACTACCAAAGGCATTAGAATTGTCCTAATGGTTAAATCATTATTTTTAAAAATTTTCCTGCACTAATTAATCTATGATACAAAACTGAAAAATCTTTTTGTTGACAAGCTAAATTTTTTTAATGGAATGCTTAAACCCTTCTTTTATTCGTTCACACTAATTAATTTACCTATACTACAAATCTTAAAAACATTTTTGTCCACAAATTCAAAAAGAATTTTCTAAACAAAGTACCGAACCATTATTTTTTGATTTCATCACATGAATACCGCAGCAACACACGGGTCAATTTTGCTCGTTTTTAGCTATAACTATACGACGACACCATGCCCTTTCTAGAAATTCTAGATCCGGCTAATGCCCAGGTGACCATCATATACTCCGGATTTTAGGATAATATTGTCAATACCAAAAAGAAGACAATTGCATAATCACGTGACCAAGAATCACTTCAACTCTAAGTTAGTTTATTCTAAAGCACCCTCTATTTCTGTTTATCCCATCCCCTATTATAAGAAAAGCAGAAAGAGGACCAAGAAGAGTGCTGCTACGGGGACCCAAAATATGGGACCAATGAAGGGGACAGGTGAGTTGTCTCATCCCTATTGCATAATGAGTTGGTCACGCCAACTCATTATACAATAGGGAGGAGACACATCACCTGTCCCCTCCCTTGGTCCCATATTTTGGGTCCTTAAATCATTTTCCGACCAAGAAAGATCCAATTTCTGATTGTGCGGAAACAGCCCTCCACGTGTACTTAAGCGCGGCCCTTCTTTAAAAAGCCAAGACTTTTCACGTTTTGCCCCGCGATATCCACCCATGGCACTTTATCCTCCTCCCCTTCCTCCTTTTCTCCTCTTCCTCCTCCTCCTCCTCCTTCACCCGTTCACACCTCGTGCTCTCTCTGCGGTGACCGTAACTCACCTCCCCGGCTTCAGCGGGGCTCTCCCCTTCCGCCTCGAAACCGGGTGAGTTGCTTAATTGTATGCATCAATATTTTCTTAGCAGGGTATGGATGTGTCATAGTTTTGTGCTTCTGATCGATCAATCTCAAATTAATGCTCATCTCGTGCAAACTATGAGAAGGTATGTGAGTGTCGATGAGGTGAACGACGTGGAGCTGTTCTATTACTTCATACAGTCGGAGCAGAGGAGCCCGAGGGAGGCCCCGGTCATCCTTTGGCTCACCGGAGGCCCTGGCTGCTCAGCCTTCAGCGGCCTCGTCTTCGAAATCGGTACGAAAACTAAAAACATCTCTTACCATTTGGCGTCAAACGTATAACGAGATGATCGATATCAATCAAGAGCAAGCATATAAATGGTTAGAATTTAATTCTTATTGGAAGAAAAAACACTCGTAATGCATGCACACGGTTACCTAGGAAAAGTACACGTTTGTGTATGAAAATACATCCTTAAACCAGCGTGAACTTTTTTTTTTCGATAAACAAGTAGCTATCGAGGGTATGTTAGGGATAAAAATGTTATAGAACGTACCATATTTTTTTTTTAATTATTGAAAGAAACAATTTTGTTCCTTTCAATATATAAAATAGGCAAGAAAAGCCGAAAACATAAACAGCCTGCACATGAAGCGGCAACATACGAAAGAAAGTCAACCATTTAATTACAAGGAATTAACCCGATAAATATTTAGAACGACATTTGAACTTGCTTGTTAACTTGCTCCTCCGTCTTTGGCCCTTTGTTGTAAGATCGATTCACAGATTTCTTTCCTGCCAAGTACGATGGATAGCGACGTACAGCAAGAGCAGCAGTCCCCTAACCTTAATTAGTTCTATAATTCTCCCCGATTAATTAGTTGATTATTAGAGAGATAAAAGAAAAAAAAAATTCAGAAGATCCCCAGCGACGAAGCGCATGACCCCTGACATTAATAATCTGTTTCCATAACCAAGGGTTACCTTTTTTTTTTAATAACTTAGATAAAACATTTTTTTAAATATTTCTCGATGAAGCCGCATTTAATATATTATATATAAATATATAATATATATATATATATATATATATATATATATATATATATATAGAGAGAGAGAGAGAGAGAGAGAGAGATTAATGGGTATCCTTGTCATAGGAGGGGATTTCCTCCTTGACGCCTCTAAAATCACATGATTGAGCGATATTATGGATGATCTGCTCCGTTGAATTTGATCTACATATTCTAAAACACCAACACACCAAGTTTGGGGTGAACCCGTCGTCATTTGACCCTTCATCCACTCGTATCAATTTTAACGGTTTTGAATGAATAGAACTTTTCACATGGCTCGATGAAGGGTCAAACGACGACGGATTCACCCCAAACTTGGTGTGTTGGGGTTTTAGAATATGTAGATCAAGTTCAACGGAGCGGATCATCCATAATGTCGCTCAATCATGTGATTTTAGAGGCGTCAAGGAGGAAATCCTCTCCTATGATAAGGATACCCATTAATCTCTATATATTCCTTCTTTGCTATGAATATACCATAACAATTTGAAGCCATGGTTGAAGGATCTCTTCAGTCATGGTTATATAAAGATACCTAACCACACAAAATTTGATGATAAATGGAATATCTATTCGACTTTAAGAGTTTTTTAATTTTAAGTTAGCTAGAAATGTTTTACTTTTGTCGTTTTAAATTCTCTCATCAAACCAATTCATTTACGTACAGATTCAACATGAATCACTAATCGAATATAATTACCAACTAAAATTTATTTTTTTCATTATAAGAAACTTGATTTAATTAGGTGCAATCCATAATTTTCCCTCTATTCCAAATATGACATTAACAAAAACCGTAACAACGTGTAATATATGGAAAGTGGATATATGAGGACTTTTCTTCAGTCCCCATCCTTATATATTCTCAAAAAAAAAAAAAAGGTACCAAACGAATAGATTCCTTGGACGAACAGCTTTACATCAGAATCCAAAAATTGTAACGATGATAGAGAGATCACAATTTGTCTTATAAAGGGGGTTTTCAACATCGATCAGTTTCTTAACGCTTTAATATTTTAAAATTAGTCTCTCAAAGCAACGATATTGCTATTAGGCCCCTGAAGTTGTTACAAACTAATCCCTCTGCCCCGGAGTATATCAATATCAAGAATTAATATATAGCAGCGTCGTCAAGGTGTAAGCATTTGGCGACCAAATAATAATTTCCAACTATTGGGAGTAAATTCATAGTACTAAAGATTTAACGGACGAAAAATCTGAAAGTCCCTATAAAGTTAACCTGCAGAGATACGACGGTACCGTATAAAGATACGAAAATGTTTGTCATTATCAAACACAACGTTTGCGTGAACGGGACAGATTGTGGACGGTGGATTGAATTCTGTACGTCCAAATCTTTATAAAGTCATCCATGACATATTACGCCGTTACATTGTTCCGTTCAACTAATGAGCTAAGGATTCTTGACTTCATCATCATAGCCAATTCTTCTCTTATCTACAGCGATCGGTTGGGCGTTATCCATTCATCCCACGGTGTTACGTTATCCTAGGAAAGTTATTGAAATTTTCACGTGACAACTATTGATAAAAAGAACATATATTTTATACAGCTAGCTTTTAAATTTAATCCTTCGTTTTTCTACATACCGTTACGTGACTTATTACGTCCTTAGCTCCGAACATTAAAGAAGTATGCGATTCTAAATCTTTATTGCTCTGTACGTAACGTTACAAACGCGCCAACATAGGGATCATAAAACCCAAAAAAAAAGGTGTTGCTACAGGGACCCAAATAGGGGACCCAAGGCATGAGACAGGTGATGTGTCATCATCTGGTTGTATGATATACTATTCATAAATAGTGCATCATGCAACCGGATGGTGACACCTCACATGTCCCATGCATTAGGTCCCCTATTTGGGTCCTTGAGGCATTAATGAAAAAAAAAAACAGAAAACCGTGATATGATTTGGATTAATATGCAGAGCAGAGAGAACTTCTTTTATCGTAAATGTTGATATGTCTAATTAATGGCTGTGATTCATTCTAAATTTAGCTCTCGAAGTACCGGCCGGCCAGCACGGATTTGCGCTAATTCCAAAATTGACGCCTAAAAATAAATCACAACCTAGCTCCCAGGAAAGTCATGAACTGCAACAAAGGTTATGAAACAAAATTCTAATCAAAATTGTCTTCTTGACGTGGGGTCTGAATTCTTAGTCGTTGCATGTACGTACTAATCGCGCCTAAAAGTATTAAGTAGAAGTAATTTTCATCTACCTAAAAGTTAGTACCTAGCAGTCGTTTTGAAATGAGCCAAACAATCTAGCTAGGTATCATTGCGTACCAACAAAACATGTAGGTACTTAGATTTTCAGGAATCGACTTGCCATCATGTTTGATGGTTTAAACCGAACCCCAAAGAAATTCTGTGAGAATACCCACAAAATTGGCATCGTTAATTCTGACACGTCATACTCAAATCACACGCTGTCAAAGACCAAAATAACCCTACTTTTCAACAAAAAAAACGCATCATGCCCTCTTTATTTATTTTTCACCCTAAAATCACTTTCCCCTCTTCCATCCCCATCTCTCTGCTGCTGACATTGTTGTGCGTCGGTGGAAGCGTGCGCACAAACTAAACGAGTCGTCGAGCAATGAGAGGAGAAACAACCAGGAGTGCAATTCACGAAAGAACGGCACAAACCAATCACAAACACAGATATTTACGAGGTTCGGCAAATTGCATACGTCCACGGGGAGAGGATGAGGAGATTTCACTACATGGAGGAGAAGTACACTAGGTTACAACTCTCTCAAACACTCCAAATAACCCTAACCAATAATCTCTCACTCCCTCATAATAATCTCCCTCTCAAAGTGCTCAAAACAACCTCTCTTTCTCTCTACAAATCTCTTCTAAAACATTCTATATATAGAGAGATCTTAAAATCAAAACAGACTAGGAATCCAACAATTGTAAAATCAAAATCAAAACAGACTAGGAATCCCAATAATTCTAAAACCAAAACAAAAATAGACTAGGAATCCCAATAATTATAAAACCAAAACTAAAACAAACTAGGAATCCTGTTTGGCCCAATAACCTGCTATCCAACAATTCTCCATATCGGCGAAGTGTTCACAAAACTGAGCTGACACCAACAAGAACACCAATGTGTCTGTAACAAGCTTCTACACACCAATTTCTCCTTTCCTGCAGCTTGAAACCCCAATGGCTGAGTTATATAATTTTTTTCATCAAGATCACCATGAAGAAAAGTTGTTTTCACATCCAACTGATCCAATTTTAATTCATACTGTGCCACCAAAGCTAGCAATATCCGAATCGAATAGTGGTTTACCATCGGAGAAAAGACTTCATTGTAGTCAATGCCTTCTTCCTGTGCATAACTCTTCGCAACCAATCTAGCCTTAAACCTCATAGGAGCGCCCTGAATACCCTCCTTCTTCGTATACACTCATTTGCAACCAATAGCCTTCCGCCCTTTTGGAAGCTCAACAAGCTCCCTTGTGAACAGACTCCATCTCCTCTTGCATAGTCTCCTGCCACAAATGCCTCTGAACTCTGCTCAGCTTCTCTAAATATAGTAAGAACCATCTCGTTAACACTATCCACCGGAAGTACATATGCAACGACTGTGTCCGTATACCTCGCTGATAACCGTATGTCTCCTCGATCTCTGAACTGCAATCAAATCCTGAACCTGAGTCGTCGGTCCCTGATCCTGCTCTGTCATACATGTATCCTCTAAAGCATCACCATGCTCGCCTGCCGTTACCTCAGTCGGCATTCTAATGGATACAGTCCCATTTGGACTTTGTGAATGTGCATCAATCTCCACCACCTGCGATATCTCCTCTGTTAGGGTGCTCTCCACCTGATGAGAGCTGGTAGGCTTCAAGTGCGAAGCCTCATCGAATGTGACGTCTCTACTCAGCATAATATTTTTCTCAACTGGATCTCAAATCTTGTATCCTTTCACACCATGCTTGAATCCCATAAATATGGCCTTCCTAGCTTGATGTTCTAATTTATCAGTTCTAACATGATAAAATACAGGGCACCCAAATATCTTGAGCTGATCATAGTCGTGTACTGGCTCTCCTGACCATATTTCCATAGGGATTTTCCCCTCAATCGCAGATGAAAATAGCCTATTAATGAGGTGGCTCGCATATAAAAGTGTCTCAGCCCAAAAGATCTTCTCCAAACTACTCTGCGATAACAAATATCGGACCTTCTCCAGTAAAGACCGATTCAACTTCTATGTCACCCCATTCTGCTACGGTACATGACTAATTGTAAAGTATCTTTCTATGTCATCGTCTTGACATAGCTGCTGAAAGGGATCCGAAGTATACTCGTCGCCGTTGTCGGATATCAACGTCTTGATTTTTCTCTCAGTCTGCAGTTCCAATCTCTTCTTCCACTCCACAAATATATCTAGGACTTTGCTCTTCTTCGCAATGATGTACGTCCAACAATACCTAGAATAGTCATATACAAATGTGACTAACAAATGTCGACCACCAAGTGATGCCGTCTTGGTGGGACCCCAAATATCCGTATGCATGTAGTCCAAGATGCTCGTCATTCTATGAATGGCTGTCATGAATTTCACTTTAGTCTTCTTTCCAAAAACACAGTGCTCACAGAATTCAATCTTCCCATTTTTGACTCTCTTCAATAGCCCCTTATTGCATAGCGTCTGTAGCGACTTTTTACCTGTATGTCCCAATCTGTAGTGTCAAAGTTTGCCCGTGTCCATCTCTAAAACTGCTAAAGCTACCTAGCCAATATCGGTGCTTCTTTTTAGATAATATAGATTTTTACTACAGACTCCCTTCATCACTATCAAAGATCCCTTAGTAACTTTTGCTACAGCGCTCTCAAAAGTCACCTTGAATCCATTTGCCTCCAAAGCTCCAACGAAAATAAGATTCTTCTTTAGCTGAAGAACAAATCTCACTTCATTCAACTCACGAACAACTCCATCATGCATCCGAATCCTGACGGTACATATCCCACAAATACCACAGGACTCATCGTTTTCCATAATCACCACACCCCCATCAAGCTTCTCGAAAGATGCAAACCAATCTCGTCAGAGAGTCATATGATAAGTAGCACCAAAATCCAGCATCCAATCTGATGCATTAGCATGGTTAATCTCTGGAGTAATCAATAGAGAAAAACATTAATCATCTGAATCGTTACTACTCGTATCAACATTCACCTTGTTGGCCTTCGGGCCCTTCTTCTTACTATTCTCCTTTTCTCTAAGCTTCTGGCAATCTCTCTTCCAATGTCCTTGTTCTTTATAAAAAGCACACTGGTTCTTCGCTAATTGGTAGTGGCCTCTTGACTTTGACTTGCCTCTGTTGCCACCTCTCGGATAGGGACTCCTACCACTCGTCGACAAGGCATCTCCTTAAGTGCTAGCTCTGGAAGATTCTTTATCCTTCCCCCTCAAGTTGAAATTCAGCATTAGTCACTTTATTATAGGTGATGGAAGATCTACCGTTTAACAAAGTGAGCATGAAGGTTTCATACTTTGATGGCCTCTCATGGACCATGATGATCTCCTCTAAGTTTTGAGCATTCAAAGCATCATGCACATCACTCATCCACAACCCAAAATTGATATTGCCATCATACTTCACAACACTGATCTTTGTATTCTGAAGTGCAACATAAATTGTACTTTTCGTAGCCTTACTATTTTCACCACTATCTCCTGTCATTGCTTGCTAACTCTAAATTGTAGAGAAAATTCAAACAACTGATAGAATTGAAAAATTACCCAACTTGAACCCTAGATTAGATTCCAGCACGAACTCCGAACCACACGAGGAAGGCGAGATCTCCAACTGGCAACTCTGCAATGTTATCTCCACCGAAACTTAGATCTCTAAGATCCAAGCTTCCAACAACGATTTTTTCTCCACCTAAAATAAACCCTAGGTCTGAAATCCTAGAGCTCTGACACCAATTGATGTGCGTCGGCAGAAGCATGCTTGTGAACCAAACACCCACACGAGTTGCCGAGCAACGAGAGGAAAACAACCAATGAGTATAATTCACAAAAGAACGGCACAAACCAATCACAAACATAGAGATTTACGTGGTTCGGTAAATTACCTACATCCACGGGGAGAGGATGATGAGATTTCACTATATAGAGGAGAAATACAATGAGTTACAACTTACAACTCTCTCAAACACTGAAAATAACCCTAACCAATAATCTTTCACTCCCTCACAATAATCTCCCTCTCAAAGTGCTCAAAACAACCTCTTTTTCTCTCTACAAATCTCTTCTAAAACGTTCTATATATATAGAAACCCTAAAACCAAAACAGACTAGAAATCCAACAATTCTAAAACCAAAATCAAAACAGACTAGAATTTCCAATAATTCTAAATACAAAACCAAAACAGACTAGGGATCCCAATAATTCTAAAACCAAAACCAAAATAGATTAGGAATCTTGTTTGGCCCAATAACCTTCTATCTAACAGACATTTGCTCCTAAATTGGAGCCTCCAATTCCCGGAACTTGTTTTTGACTATTTCGTCATTCAAAACTCTAAATTGATGCTATTTTTTACGTAATGCAATCATAAGTATAAAATAAAATAAAATAATAAAACCTTTTGGTTGTTGTTTGAAATATCTAAATATATTGGGTTTAAGTAAAGTCTTCACAATTTTTGGAGGTTAAGTTAAAAATGCCCAAACTTACTGTTTTTTTTTTGGCATTTACTCTTTTTCTTGGGTTAATTGTGAACAAATACTCGATAGTATCACCCATTATGAGTAGACAAGCTGTAGTTCTATTTTTGCGAATGAAACCCATAAATGAATATTTTAAACTCTAGAAATCATTAAAAAGATTTGAGGAGGCCGGTAGACCCCCTATGGTTCTACTAGTGAGGATAGGCCCTCAGTTACTTTCTTTTAAAGGTCCAAAAAGTTTCACTAATGTGGTGTATTCGCGGCTGAGCCAATATTATAGGGCGTCTATTCCTCACAAATGAAACAACAAGGGGTCTATTCATAATTGGGTGATACTACGTGGGTTTTGTTCATAACTAACCCTTTAATTCGAGCCGCAATACATGGAATACATGAGTAGGGACTTGTTTGGCAAGCTCGCAACATGGAAACAAGATTGATCCTGACCTCATTTTGAAAAGTTAAAAAATAAGTAGATCAACGTTGGTCTAGTTTTTTTCATAAGTTAAAAAAATGCTCCTAAACTAGTTTTATTTTGATCCACATTTCCAAACAGAGCCCGTTTATCTCAAAGGTGTGACAGAATATTTTGATGCAGTTTTTGAGGGTGTGACAGAATATTTTGATGCTCTTTTGTAGGTCCTCTGCAATTTGTGACTAAAAAGTATGATGGGAGCGTACCATCTTTGGTATACCGCAATTGTTCATGGACAAAGGTCAGCCATTTCCCCTCCCATTCATTCGAACAATAAAATCTCTTCACTAATTGTGTCTCGACTAATGACTTTGTTTGAAATTTTAGATTGCAAACGTTATCTTCCTCGACTCTCCCGTTGGAACCGGGTTCTCATTCTCTAGAAATCCTGAAGGCTATGTGCTCGATGATACAGGTTTATCTATACAAATCCATGAATTTCTAAAGAAGGTACAACAGCATCTAGTTTCAGTGAGAAATTAGCTCTCATTCATTTGTTTTTTTTTACCACTATATTGAATAATTTTCAGGAGGGTAAAATAGAGTAAACCCCTGAGCTTTCATCTTTCTGCTGTAAATCGCAATGACTTCTAAAAACCAGAATTGCATACAACACAGAATGAGTTTTCCTATCTTGCAGAGACCCCCATGACAGAGTAGGTCCATATTTAGGATGTAAATGCGTCGCGGACGCAAAACGTGGACGGGCACCATCATGGGATTATCTGCAAATTGCATAAACTTATTGGGGATTTTCTTCGATCCAAATAGTTACTGTGGGTTTAGTTAGTGCGGTTTAGAAGTTATTAGGGGTTTACTGCAGAACGCTGAACGTTCTTGCGGGTTTAGTGTGATTTACCTTAATTTTCATGTGGAAACGTCAGACATAAAATACCTGTGGTTGCAGTGGTTTATTGAACATCCAGAGTTCATGGCCAACCATCTCTACATTGCGGGTGATTCATACGCTGGAAAGTTTGTTCCTCTTGTTGCTCATGAGATTGCGAAAGGTACGTAATTGTTCTGAAAAATAAGAAATAGGGAATCATATTGAAAATATATGTTTTCTCGATAGAATCTAAATTATGACTAGATCGTAACACATTCTTATTTGTCAACAACATACAGGTATCGAAGCAGGCCATAGTCCTCTCCTGAATCTCAAGGTATGCGTATGTTGTGAGTACTATGAGACAAAATATTGCACGAGAGGAGCTTTGGGTGTCATCCTGCAGAAAAACTTTAAAAAAGTTAATCACACTTTCATGTGATCATATTTGAACCAATAATGGGCGAAAATATTTTCCATGATCTATTTGCTGAGTAGTCTGAATCCATTTCAGGGTTATGTAATTGGCAATGCAGCTACAGGAGAATTAGTTGATCTGAATTCTCGAGTTCCATATGCACATGGAGTGGGCATTATATCAGATGAATTATATGAGGTAACTTCTGTGACAAACTATACACTACTACATCAATATCTCATTCACTAAATCTTTGTTTTTCAGGCAATTCAGAAGAACTGTGACGGAGAAAATTACGCGAATCCTAATCCTCTCAACTTACTATGCAGTTCGGCACTTGATAAATTTGACACGGTGAGCATCTCATGACTGATGTTCATCAGCGCCATTAATTCCAGCTGAAAATGAAGTGATCTCTTCTTGTGCGTGCAGTTTACCTCAGAAATTAACAAAGCCTATACACTGGATCCCCAATGTCCTCTTGCATCGCCTGGAAGAAGGCATACGTCTCGTGATCGGTCCTTAGAAGAGAATTATCCAGAGATCCGTCTTCCGCCGGCTGCTCCAGATATCAAGTGTAGAGTAAGTGTGATTCCTTCAGTGTGATCCACATGGAGAATGATCAGTATTTTCTATACTAATGAACTGTTGATGTTCACGTATTTCAGTCATATTCTTATTATCTTTCCTATTATTGGGCGAACAACTATAAGACGAGGGAGGCCCTTCACATCAAGAAGGTACACTGTAAACACTACATTTGAATTATGAGTGATAGACTGCATACAACACAATACAGTCTGTTTACAAATTTAAACTTGTAATTCTCTGAAATATTTGTACATTTAATGAGAAGCAGGGAACAGTCAGAGAATGGGTTAGGTGCAATCACAGCCTTGCATATACAGACAACACACCGAGTTCAGTACCATACCACCTCAATCTAACGAAGAAAGGATATCGAGCATTGGTGTACAGGTGGAGCAAACAAAACTTCCAATAGCCTTCGTCACATTCGGGAATTTTAATTACTTTTAGCACCCTATCATAAATTTTCATTATTGGTTTGCACAGCGGTGACAAGGATTTGCTTATACCATTTATCGGTACACAAGCATGGATAAGATCGCTTAACTACTCCATTGTCGATGACTGGAGATCATGGCATGTAGATGGCCAAGTTGCTGGGTAAGTTAAAATCCTAGGCAACGCGATAATCCTTACGGTATAGGAACTTGTAATGACCTGCTGAAAATTTTGATGTTGCTATTTGGTCTTCTTCTGGTTCATCAGATACACGAGAAAGTACTCCAACAGCTTGACGTTTGCAACGGTAAAGGTAAAGAAGTTCCTCTTCATTAGTCACGAAGACACCGATTAATTGTTCTTACATAGAGCTATTTTCCTCCTGCTGACATGCATTGCAGGATGCCGGTCACACTGCACCAGAATACAAGCCTAAGAGCTGCTTCATGATGCTTGCCAGATGGATATCTCACAGGCCTCTGTGATCAAGTCAAAAGGATGCATCGTGTTTATAGAAGCAATACAAAATTAGTACTGTCAGATTCTAATTACTATAGTAAATGTCTATACCAGAATACAAAAGTTTACTTTCAGATTCTAATTACTATTGTAAATGTGTATATCAGAATCCACAAAATGATAATAAGATTAAAAAATTTGTGAAAGGAGGAAATTAAAGAGTATGAAAGCCGATATCTTATACATGTGTTCAGATTGTGATTATTTCTGATATCGAACCATCCTATGGGGTTTGGATACTCGGATGGCGACCAAATTGATTATATTTGTTTGAGAAGACTAGAAAGCTTTAAACATACATACAGATCTATACCAACAAAGGCGAAAAGGTGACTGTTGGTTTTTCTTGCTGGTGATCACTCTCCAAAGCTTTAAGTCAATCTCTTGATGATGAAAAGTAAGCACGGGATTTACCGTGTCTTGTATGCGAATACCTTCCTCTCCCTAAGGCGAGGATTTCTGTAATTTTGGAAGATTATTTAAGAAGAACTGAGTTTTTTTTTTCTGGGTAACTGATATAGCTTTCTTTTACCAACTTGAGAATGTATGTACACAAAATAATCGTGGGCGTACTACTACTACTACTACTACAGAAAACAGATCACAAACAAAACAAAACACCTGTCAATCTCAACAAGACACCTCTCAATCTTAACAAGATTGTAATTAGAATATAAAAATATAATCATCAACCCTCATCAAAACTTTGGAGTTTTGGTGTAATGATTAGGAGGACTTAATTTAAGATAACATCAGAATAACCTAGGTTCAAATCCCACCGGCCATAAATTTAAAGCGGATTTTCTAAAAATGGATACTGGTACCTGAGTCTAGACGTCGACCCATTAAAAGGACGCTTAACTTGCAGCAGGGGAATCTTCAACCTTTACCATAACTTCTGAGTTTTGGTCTAATGGTTAGAAGAAATATCATACACTCCAAAAGTGTTAAAAGCACATAAATATCACACCAAAATGTCGATCCAACTCTTAAACTTCGGAGAACTAAGCTGTTGAACTCTTGGAATCACCTCAACTATAATGCGTTTGACCAGAACATTCGGCCCAACAGCAATATCTCAGAAAACTCTCATATTTCTCTCCCTCCATATCTCATACACGGCAGCAGCCAGTGCCGCTTGCAAAAGTCTTTTTCGTGGAGCTCTGCCTTCATCCTGCAAATAGAACCATGCCAATTGCTCTTGCCAGCCCATAGGACCTCTATTTGGACGTAGCCATGCCAAAATCTTTTTCCCAAACCAGTGCAGCATAAGGACAGTGAAAAAACAAGTGGTTCACAGTCTCAAAAGCTTGACTACACAAAGCACGTTTACTGTACACCTCGCAAAATCCCCAATCGCAGCAATCTTTCATGAGTAAGCAATCTACCACACGCTGCAAGCCAATAGGACAAAAGCATGTGTAGGCATATAGATAAAGAACACCAAACTATAGCATACCACGGCACAAAAAGTTTGCAGGCAACAAGTTGGAAAACTCTCATATTAATAAGTTCACGTAGATTAGGTAAAGGATCCATAATTATACTTGCTAATAAGCTAACATAGTTAGCACTACAAGGAAAAAAGAGGCATCTACAACAAAAAAATTGAAAAATCCCATTGCGTATACAAAAAATTCCAATGCACAGATCAGTATGGAGTTAGATTGCGGACATCAACGGTACAAAACGAGGCATCCTAGATGGAATATTCCGCCTAGAATAGCCTGAATTCCGTCTACGTAGATCATTCTAGACGGAATTCAATCTAGGATGTTCGTGTAGTAAGTTTTTGTCTACGATGAGAATTCTAGATGGAATTTCGTCTAAAAAACCATCCTAGACAGAAAAACAACCTAGACGGAAAACAAAACCGTCTAGGATATTACTAGATGGAAAAGCATTCCGTCTAGGAAGCATTCTAGATGGAAATTCCTTCTAAGATACTTCTAAGATACTTCCTAGACGGATGTTCATATTGGGATTGTGTTTTAGATTCTTTGTATAACTTCATGAGAATTAGATAGGGTTAGAGATCTATCATGATTAGGAGTTTGGGTTTCATCATGATTTGGTGTTTGAATCATATTTTAATTAGGAAGTTAGGCTAGAAATAGGGTTTCTGTTTCCCTATATATATTCTTCTATTGGTGGAGGAAAAACCAAGAAGAGTAGAGAGAATGAGAGAGAGGGGGTTTGGCGATCTTTGTCCATGCAAAAGATTATAATTTGGAGGTGATAGTGGATTGTGAAAACGGTAAAGAAAGTAAGAAAAAACGTGAAGAATAAGCAAAACAGACTCCACCACACCCTGGTGTGGTGTCTGCCACACCGGTGGTAGAATCTGTCATGTTTGTCATGGGTGTGGTGTCTGCCATATCCTGGTATGGCAGAATCTGTCATGTTTGTCATGGATGTGGTGTGTGCCACACCAGGGTGTGGCAGACTCGTTTTTAGAATTCTAATCTATTTGAGATTGTGTTTTGTTATAAATAGAACCATGTTTTTTAGGGTTTCTTAAGGAGAGAATTAGCATTGTTTTAAGCACTTTGAGAGGGAGATATTGTGAGGGAGTTGAGAGCTTTGGTTAGGGTTATATTTGAGTGATTTTATGAGTTATAACCCATTGTATTTCTCCTCTATATAGTAAAATCCCCCCATCCTCTCCCCGTGGACGTAGGTAATTGTCGAATCACGTAAATTCCTGTGTTTGTGTGTGATTTTGGTCGTTATTTTGTGAATTGCACTCGTGTTTGATTTTGGTTTTCTTCTCTCATCGCTCACCGACTCGTTTGGTTGTCGAGCACGCTTCCGTACGGTGCGCAACAAGTGGTATCAGAGCATAACATGGATTGATTTTAATCACGTGGTTTTTCCCTGTTGAGGGTTTTTCATGTTAAATCTCGTGTGATTCTATTTGCTACGTTTGGTGATTTTTCGGGGTTTCTGCGAGATCTAAAAATTCTAACAAGTGGTATCAGAGTCGTGATAATGAATCCGGGAGTGAATTCGCAAAATAGACATTATACAAAGGTGAAAATTGATGGCGTTACTAGAATTAATATGAAGAAAAAGAAAAAAATGAAAGTACTATAGCGGCGGGAATAATGTTTGGGTGAGGGTTTGGTTAACAAATTATTAAATCAAATCTGATGGCGTAAATTATTTTGTCTTCTGATCGAGGGTTTGGAGGCAGATTTCAACAATTCAAGAGTTGATTAATAAAATTTTGAGTGCTCTAAACGTAATGGAAGAGTTTGATTTTTTAGATTTTGTTCAGATTGGTCAGAAAGTGCTGAAAAGTTCTGAAGGTGATGATGAGTCAGATTTGATGGCAGATAGGGCAAACGAGTATGCGACAAATGAGATTGGCGTAGAGAATCAAATATGATTCTAGCAATAGAGTTGTCAGCATATAATTATTCGGAGTTATTGCGAGAGCAGGAGTTGGTTGGTGTGTAGACTCGAGATAGACAGTGCCAGATTAGATGAAGCTCGCAAGCAAGAATGACTGAGTGACATGCATGTTGATGGAGATGGTGGCATTGGACTTGAAGATGATGAACGCTCATATTCAGTCCTAACCAAGTGATGGATGATATAGAGGCATTTGACTTGTAGTGTGGAGTAGGAGAGGTGCACCGATATAGTTTGAGACAAGCGATGCAAATGGAGCACAAAGACAACAAGCGGGGAAGGCTATTGTCAGGCTCAAGTTGGGAGGATAAGCATGGTTGATTTGCTTCTGATGTTAGATGTGGCGACTATCTCTTTGTGTGCACAAGAGGTGGAGGCACCACAGTGAGAGAGATGAAAGTGAGGGTCATAGAGGCATCCAATTGGAATGCTGGTGCTTTGATTTGATATGCGAAAAAAATAAAAGACTCTAGCGAGAGAGACAAAGTTTTAAGATGGTGATGATATATCTTCAAGGGATTTTGAGAATCAAATCCAAAGTGGAGATTGTTAGGATTGTGTCTTTGATTCTTTGTATAATTTCATAAGAATTAGATAGGGTTAGAGATCTATCATGATTAGGAGTTTAGGTTTCATCATGATTAGGAATTTGAATCTTATTCTAATTAGGAAGTTAGGCTAGAGATATTGTTTTAATTTCCTGTTTGTTGGAAATTTGCAGTAAAAAGACAGTGAAAGAAAATTTGACCTGTATTCTCTCAAAATCAATTACAATTTGGATTCCGATTACAAAAGAGAGGAGAATAAATTTGATTCTCCCCTTTGTTTAAGAATGGGTTCTTCTTGGTAGCGGTGGAGTGCTTCCTTCGATTGATCGCGTCGAACTTGCTCTCCGTTGACGATCCGACCGTCCTATCTCACTGGAATGGTTGACTTGTGTGACGAAATTCGGTTTAGAACTCTTGACGAGTTTTTATGAACTCAGAACGAGTTGAAAACTCTGAAGAGAGTTGTTAAGAACCGAATATCTGGTTTGATCTGATTATCTTGCGTTGCAAGCTTAATCACGAACTCTTAAATGAGTTTCAAAACTCAGAGCGAGTTGAAACTCTGTAACCGAGTTGTTGGAACCGAAGATTCGGTTAATTGCCAAGTGGATTATGCCGTTGATGAAAGGATCCTCTGGGGTTTGATTAACTGATCGTTGATCAGCTCCTTGATCTCCAGAAGATCTCCTCCTCCGTGCTATTGAACTGCTGAGATTTGTTGACCTTAGGAGGTTTTGATGCCAGCTCACCTCAACCCTATGCGGTTTTGATATCAGAAACCGACCAACCCCTTACTCAGTTGAGTAAGTCGGTTATTTATAGGGGGATAAGGGGTGTAACCAACCCCTATTTCCGCTCCTATGTAGGCGAGAATCCCTCAGAACGTGGGATAACGGTTTTGAGGCCGTTCGGCTTGTATTTGAACAAGTCAAAAATCCCTCAGAACGTGGGATAACGGTTTTGAGGCCGTTCGGCTTGTATTTGAACAAGTCAAAACGCCTCGGTTGGTGTTCTGGGCTTTAACTCTGCGTCCAAGATTTGAGACGCAGAGTTAAATCTCTGTTAGAGATTTGAGACGCACAGGCCGTATGCGTTCTGGAATTAGAAACGCACAGGTCACTGGTGCGTTGAAGTTCAACTCTGCGTCCAGAGTTTGGGACACAGTTGAGTCTGTCGAAGAA